AAGAAATGTAAGATTAGGAATTTCATATCTTTCAAACTTAGAAACACTGCATGTTGAAAACACTGAATAGTGTAAAATGAGCATGAAATAAATCTAATCATGTTGATATAGTAAAGTTTTGACATTCTCAAGAGGTTTGGTTGATTAAAAAAATATTTACTAAGAAATTAAAATATTTAATGATATATACTAATCACCAAGACAGGTATACAAAAAGGTAGAAATAGTCCTTGTCCTGGTAATGTTTACAATTTATGAGGGGATGACAGACATGCACATTATGAAAAGTTACCTGCAAGGACCAAGCTAACCAATACCTCCTAAATGAATGAGAAGTGTAAGTTGTACTTCAATACTTCAGAAATGAACAGTCTCAACTTTTCACTACAAGAGTAAACAAGTGATTTCCAGAGAATATAAAAATTCTGATTGAATTGCGAATAAAAGAATAGCAGGTTCAAATGTGGAAAAGGCTTGTCAGACAGGTGAAGGTGTTTTATGTGTATGGGAATGTAGACGAGAGAAGAGAGTTGGGGAATGATGGGAACCAAAGATAACAGAGGTGCTGCAGTCAGGTGTGAGAGGACCTGGCGGTTGCCCAAAGAGTTTGAAGCAGCAGAAATAGAAACTCATCCAAGTTTTGAGAAGGATAGTTAACGTGACCAAATGCTGCTTCAAGAACCTTTTAATTGATCGAAGAGTAACAGGGAATTTGACAAGTGGAGCCTGGAGGAATGGAGGTCAGTTAGGGGACTGCGGTCCACAAACAAGGGGATGAGGGAGTGATGCAGGATGGGGCAGTGATATTAGGAAGGAAGAGATAAAAGCTAAAGGTACAGCGATCTTTTATACCTAATAATGTATATCCAGCCTGGGGGGAGAAAAGCATCAAACTCTGAGCTATCTGGGTAAAAAGCAGAATTAGAGAAATCCAGCAAGGGACTCTGTAAATTGGTTTGCTTGTTTGTTTTATGGGAGAAGAGTTTAAGGGGAATGTTGCATTTAAGTTGCTGAAGAAATGCTTGGGGTGGGGGCAGTCCAGTGGGCAGTACTTAGAAATATGGCCCTGGAACACAGGAGAGAATGAAGGTTGCAGGTAAATCTACAGTATTGAAGCCACAAGGCTGGATATCACCTCTAACAAGATAAAGATGTCTGAACATAAGGTGAGGTTGATGTCAAAGGGAAGGTTTCCTGAGCATATGAATTTTAAATACAGTTTAAAGGCAAATTCTCTAAGATGATGTAAGGATATACCATCCTTGCAAGAATTAGATCTAATATCACCTCCATGAACCCCGTGAAGGACAAATATAATGGAATACAACGTAGATGAAATACACTGCACTGCAGGATTGTGATTTACCTTACAGAGGTCAGAAGTCTCTTTGTCCTCAGCATAGTTAACAACCCAGGGAAATATGGCGGAAAAGGATGAGTTCAGGTTTTCCTGGGTCTAGATTTCAACTCTGCTACCATTATCTTAGTTAAGTACCTTAAGGTAAATTTCAGCATCTCATTTGTTGAGCAAATATACTGTGATTATGGGACTAGAGATAATATATGTCCTATATGCCTAGCACATTGTATGCATTCATTAAAGGGATGTTGCCATTATTTATTTTATTTTTATTGTAATTTCTGTTATTTACAATGATAAAACTACATTTCTAAGGCTAGAACTACACTAATTTCCATCACCAAAGTGACATATATCAGAGAAAGAAACAGTTCTGTAATGTAATTTTGAGTAAAAAGAGAGAACCTAGAATAAAATATATTCGTTGATAACATTAGTAGAACTTCATGGAGAAATTAACTACTTATAAGTGATCACTGACTTTACATAGATATGGTCTGAAAGAAAAAGAAATACGTAATTCTATAAACTACAATTCAAAGGAGAAAAAGAAAATGAGTAATGGGTAAATTGAGGACTCTAAAACCTTCATTTACATAGAGAAAGTAGTTCATTCTGGTAAAGTATATAAGGAGTTAAAGACCGGTAGGTTTGGTACTTATATACATACAGAATATTATAAAGAACTAGGAATCTTTCATATCCACAGAAGGAAATAAGTTCACTTGCACATGATTTCCAGAAATGAAAGAAATAAGAAGGCTTTGGTAGGTAAAGATTTATAATTCCATGTTTAAAGATGTACAAGTAAAATAGTGGTCCTGTGTCTACAAATTGCTAAGAAATATATTTATGTTTCTATTTGGTGACATAAGACTCAGGAGAGTAAAGCAACTACGATCATGGGTTCTGGATCCAGTTTTCCTGCGTAATATTTCCTATTTCCAGTTACTGGGCAAATTATTTAACTGTAGTGTCCTCATCTGTAAAACAGTACCTAACTAATAGGTCTGATAGGAGAATTAAATGAACTAATACACATAATGAGGTTAAGGAGTTCCTAGCACATGGTAAGATCCAAAAGAAGTTAATTATTTAATATTGTTTATTGTCATTATCATCAATATTACTTGGAATGGAATGAAATTACCTCAGTCAGCTTTTCTCCCTTTGCAAATGTGCCTCACTATATTATTTATGCTCTAAACGTATGTCTGATATTAATTACTATTACAGGCTCTTACAGGGCAGTGTTAACTAAAATTTAAGCAACAATTTTGTCACTATTGTTTGAAGTGTCCTGTATCCAACAAATGTATATGAGAAGACGACAAACGCAGGACAAAGACCCTGTGCTAGGAAAAATGTGATGAGGTTCAAATGGCGCAGAGTTGGATAAATGTATATGGGGGGGAGCAAAGAAAAAGTTTTATCCTAAAGTTTCTCTTGGATAAACATAAAGAAAAACAATGACATTTCTAAAATGGGACTCGTCAAAAGATTTCTAGTAAGGGATGATGGACCAATTTTCTGGTTTGCGGCTGTTTCCTCCATCTTTTAACATGGGGTGAAGAGATGCCTAATTTTTACATCTCTCATGTCCCATAATAAGAAAGAAAAAGTAGTATAAGAACACTTGCCAAGCCAGGCTCACAAAACCATGTTTGTGGCATCTGTTGACTATCCAGATATCTCAGAGCTGTCCTGCACAGTTGTTCTCTATCATTGTCAGCCTCAGAAGTCCAGAGACAGTCACATGGCTAGGGCTGGTGAAGAAGAGTTCAAACCAGTCCATTTTCCCTGGAGCCTTAAAAACTTCCTAGACATAAAAATACTCCATTCTTCATGCCTAAGGTATGAGTAGAAGGGAATGGAGCTTTCCACATTCACTGTGCCCCCCAGTTAAACAAATTTCTAGTTTAAGAATCTGTTGGTCAAGAATGCTTCATTTGATTTGCTCTATACAGAGTAGAAATGAAATACAAATCAATTATTTGGGCCCAATCAAGGCCATATATTTTATATTTTTAACTATAAGGTGTTAACCACTAAGAAATTCTATAACTGCTCTTTGACACCCAACTTCTACTTCTTTTGTGATTACTTGCTTCCATTTAGCTGAATTGTTTTTCTTCTCACATAAAAGATCAACTAAGAAAACGATGTCCTATCAACTTAACTTAAATCCATTACATGATGAAAAGTAAATATTTTGACAGAGACATTTCAGAATCAAAACAGAGAAGGTATCTAATTGCTTGAAAATTACCAGATCATATTACAGTAAACAAGTTACATTATGCACCCATAGTGATTTTTAGCATTTGTACCCAAATATCAATGACTGCTAGGGTCAGAGAATAAGTTTTTAACCAATATATTAATGGAGGAAGTTACCCTCCTCTGAGTAACCAAGAGGAAACCACTTTTTAAGGTTTTACACCTTGATTGACACATACTGAAATTTGGTCTCCTTATGTTTAATAAAGAACATTTTTACAGGTAGTAAGGAAAAGGAAGGTAAAAAAAAATAGGCTTATGAAGCTTTTCTTTGATAAAAATAATTGGTTATGAAAATTCAAACATTATGTCAGTATAGAAGCAGTACAGTGATAAGTACAGACATCAAAGTAGTTGTAGGAAATATCTTAAGTATAATATGTATGCAAGGTACATGTGTTAATGTTTTTTCAACAGTTTTAACACAGCCCTTTGATTTTCAATGCCCACTAAAATAATGATATGTCATTATTAAAAAATACCTAAAACAAAACTTTGGAAACTTATTCCAAGATTATAGGCAAAGAGAGTGCCATAGTTTAGTTTTGGTAACGTTTAATTATGAATAAGATTATTTAAAAAATCTATTTTATAAATAAAAATTTTGGCACTATATTAGTAAGTATAAGAAAATTGCAAATCAATACCTTGCAAAAACACACTTTGTATCTGTCTGATACTTTTTTTATATATGTGATATGACAGATGATAAATTAAAGGGATAACAAGTCTTTCCCTTGTTCAAGGGTAACTGCCTTCACAGTGTCACTTGTGAAGATGCTTTCCCCAAATTGTCAGACTAGGTGGTAAGGATGGGGGGATAAATACATGGGCATTATGTAGCTATGGTTATTCTGTGGACTGTATTCATTGACGCCATTAACTAAATAACACAACACAACCTCTATTCACAGAGCTGAAAGTATAGTAAGATTTCTAAGGATAGATTATATCTAATATTAATTAACAAAAATTTTGCAATGTCACACAATCATATTCATGACTTATAACACCTTCTAAGATTTAAACCACTCACTACATTGCCATTAATATTGTATAAGTGAAACCAGAAACTGAAGAAATTGAATGGATTCCTTGATATGTCAAAATTAAAACTAATAAATTGGATACAAGAATCATGTCCTTTCCTTTTGATATCATAATCTTGTCTCCCTCAAGATAACTACAATCATTACATATACATATATATATATACACACACACACATATATACACACACACACACACACACCTGAACATATATATGTGAAAAAAATTTACATTTGAACACAGGGATATAATATATATTCAGCTACATCTAGAAGAGCTGATAAACCTGTAACCAATGTAAAAGACTAACCTGGTGTTACTACTACTCCATTTCCATTGACCACAGGCCTCTCTTCCTCTTCCTCCTCAGGAGGCTCTATGCTTGCTTTCTCCATGTTGCTTACTGATTTATTCCTTTTTCGTTTTCCTTCAGTGCTTGGAGTGGCTCCAGGAAGTATCTGGTCTGTTACATTTAGTAACAATGGTGCTGGTTCTGCTGGAGGCTTTGGGGTACCGTAGTAGTTGTCTGCAAATGATACAAAACATATGAAGTTAAATATTTCTCCTACTGGTGTGCATAATTTGTAAAGAATGGAAATTTATTAACAAATGTGTATCCTAGTTTATACATATATATGTATTTTACATATACATACATACATATCGTTTTATATCCTTTTATGTTTTTATATAGGCGTTTATTTGTTGCTTCTATTGTATTGGGCTTTAATGCTTAAACAAAGATACAGACCTATCTTCATTTCACCTTAGTGCCAAATCAAAATATAGTCTTAGCTATTAGTTTCATATGACACATAGCAATTTCAAATTAATCAAAAATTTTTTATAACAAGCCTTGATTATAATCTTTTTAAAAATAATTATGTCTGAATAAGAGTATGGGAAACTTATTCTTTAAGCAAATCTTATAACATTCTGGAAAGGCAAAGCACATTGTGCCCTTCTCCAGCTTGCAAAGGGCTCTGGCTGCTGTCCTTGATGTGCACAGCATCCTGCCTAGAGCTGGATCTCCACGCCAGTTTCGTGGTTCCCATGACTGCCGACAGTGGGCCTGCTACTGTAATCATTCTTCAGATTACCACAGCCCTTTTTCCCACAGCTCCATGATCTGAGCTACAGAAAACATTTGTTTCCCCCATCAGTCTGTGAGACTTCTAAAAGAGGAGACTAATTCCTATTTATCTCTGTCATAAGAGCCTGGCAAACAGTAACATGGAATATATGCTTACTACGTGAACATCTTTTTATATTCAAAGCAAATTACTTTTATGAAAAAAATACTTTAAATTTTTGCTTGGTAAACGACACAGTGGTGTTTTTAAAAAATCAATGTTATGCTTTTAGCATCAACTTCAAACCCATATTGGTGTTTTCAGTTAATTGAATAATTTACGCACATATCTGCTCACTCATTCATTAAAATCTTTATTTAGTACTGACTGTGCACCCAAGCACTCCAGTATACGTCTGAGAGAAAATGATGACTATTAATACAATCCTTGTCTTCCAGATGCTCAGCGGTTTAGTATGGAAGACAGGCACATTTGACATTAAGCAGATAAGCATTAAAACAGGAAATAGGATTAAGCACTCAATCAAGGAGGCACAGAGGGGGAACCACATCTCATTATCTGCAGAGGCCACTGAAGGCAACTGAGAAAACAGTGTGCTGTGAAAGAAACCAACCCTTAAGTAGCAGTTATGGGGTCTAGATCTGGATTTTCTATATAACCACAATTCAAGCAAGTTATTTACTCAGTAAGGCTCAATTTCTTCATCTATAAATTGGAATGGCAATACTTGTTACAATCACCTGCGTTCTGGGTTGCAAACAACCAAAACATACTCTAGTTAAATTAAAGATGATAAGGATATGCTGAAAAGGTATGAGATGGCTAGTTGAGGGAAGAGGCTGGAAACCCTTGAGGAAAATGGGCGGAAACAAAGGAGTCCACTGTGGACACCCAAGCTGCGTCTGCTGGCCCTGGACTCTGAAAGCCTAGCAGGTTCCACTACCACAGGCAATAGAATCACAATACTTCTTATCTAATAAACATAATATAAAACTAGTAAATAGTCCTGCATGTCCCGATAAATAATATAATTTTAAGTAGTGTTCTGAGATCTTCAGTGCTTTTTTTTAATTGGAGTAAAATTGCTGTACAATGTTGTGTTATTTTCTGCTGTACAATAAAGTGAATCAGCTACATGTATACCTATATCCCCTCCCTCTTGGACCTTCCTCCCACCCCACCCCCATCCCACCCCTCTAGGTCGTCACAGAGCACCGAGCTGAGCTCCCTGTGCTATACGGCAGGTTCCCACTAGCTATCTGTTTTACACATGGTAGTGTATTTATGTCAAACCTAATCTCCCAACACATCCCACCCTCCCCTTCCTCACTGTGTCCATATGTCCATTCTCTATGCCTATGTCTCTATTCCTGCCCGACAGGTAGGTTCATCTGTACCATTTTTCTGGATTCCACATATATGCATTAATATACGATATTTATTTTTCTCCTTCTGACTTACTTCACTCTGTATGACAGACGCTAGGTCCATCCACATCTCTACAAATGACCCAATTTCGTTCCTTTTTATGACTGAGTAATATTCCATTGTATATATGTGCCACATCTTCTTTATCCATTCATCTGTCGATGGACACTTAGGTTGCTTCCATGTCCTGGCTATTGTAAATAGTGCTGCAGTGAACATTGCGGTACATGACTCTTTTTGAATTATGGTTTTCTCAGGGTATATGCCCAGGAGTGGGATTGCGGGGTCGTATGGTAATTCTATTTTTTAGTTTTTTAAGGAACCTCCATACTGTTCTCCAAAGTGGCTGTATCAATTTACATTCCCACCAACAGTCCAAGAGAGGGTGTGGAGAAAAGGGAACCCTCTTCAGTGCTTTTAAGTATATGTAGTACTGGGGCTTCCCTGGCGGCGCAGTGATTGAGATTCCGCCTGCCGATGCAGGGGACACGGGTTCGTGCCCCGGTCCGGGAAGATCCCGCGTGCCGCGGAGCGGCTGGGCCCGTGAGCCATGGCCGCTGAGCCTGCGCGTCCGGAGCCTGTGCTCCGCAACGGGAGAGGCCGCAACAGTGAGAGGCCCGCGGACCGCAAAAAAAAAAAAAAAAAGTATATGTAGTACTAACAAAAATGAATCACACTTCAGGGCTTTTTTTTTTTTTTTTTTTCCGATTTGTCTTTTAGGGTTTAAATCTCCCTGAGGTAGAAAAATAACCTTTTACTAATTAGAAATAAATGCATAGCTCAGGCTAAAAATAAATATTAAGTAACAGGTCTGGTTGAATTTACATTCCTAAATAATTACTCCTATTGAATGAGATGTGATTACAAATTATACAGCAATATTCTATTTCTACAATTTGATTTATGAAATTAATAGTTTAGACTAAATTTTAGATGTAAAAGAGTACAAGTCATTAGTTAAGACATTAAGATTATCTTTATTAGCAATAATAATAGCAATTTAAAAGAGGCACAGAAATAACCCATGTAGTTACTACACTTGAGAAATGTAATTCATGGAGAATAGGCTTTTACCTTAAACCAAATGCATAGAACAAAGAAACCAGAAATACCTAAAAGAAGTTGAAAAATTAGCCAGATGGTCAGGTAGCTGAGTCACTGAAATGATGTCCTGATGTTTAAATATATACAAATCAGTATATTAAGGATAAAATGTGCCTTTTAGGTAACATACCAGCATGTTTTCAGAAAACAAACATCAAAACTTTTTAAAAATATAATTTGGAAAAACTGTCCCATTAAGAATGAAGTGCCTCTATGCAGAGTGCCAGGATTTAGAGAATCTAAAATCCAAAATACCACAACAATACGGTGTATGTTTAACAGCACAGATCGTGGTGAGATAAACCTGACTTTGAATCCTGTCTCCCCTAACCTGGCTGTCTCTTTATATCCTTGAATTGATTTAGTTAAAGTGGGACTGTGGGGCTATAAGATGACTGCAGTCACAAAAGTACAGTCACAACTACAACAACTACTACTATTATTACTATCATCACCACAATTTAGTGAGCTGGACACTGTAAAGGGCATTTTACTTCTGAGCGCTTGTATCTGATGGGGATTAGAACGAAGTCATTCTGCCTCTGCAGTTAAAAGAAAATGGAGGCTCTAAAACTATTTTTCAATATTATACATAAAACAGGTGGAAAACCTATATCCATTTGACTTAGGAACCTCATTTCTTTTCAAAAAACTATATTGCCTCTCAAGAGAAAAAAAAAAAAAAGTACGATGCAATTTGCAACCTGCCTGGAATTGATGCAGTCCTCTAGGACTTCATTCAAAGCCACAACCAATGAGCAGAAAAATAACACTTTCAAGAGAAAGGCAATGCTTGCTACCAAATGATGAAGCGGGGACATTTTAGGTGATTTTTTTCCCTCCTCTCTTCCAAAACTAAGTGGGTGTGTATGTGTGTGTGTGTTTGGGGAGATGGGGTAGGGGGTATAGGCTTTCCTAGCCCACTTTTTACTGACTATATTTGTATTTGTAAAGTGTGGTGTATTCATTAACACTTTCATGTAAGTGTAATACAAAATTTCACTAACTTAGTTGTTGAATATGATGACAAAATGGAAATGATACATAACACTTTATTCTATCACAATTAGGATAATCTATAAATTAACAGTTTAATTTTGAATCAATGCTTGGAAAATAAAAGAGACAATTATTTGAGAAACCTGGTTTAACTTGATTTATTCCTCAGCTTTTTAAGTACTTAAAAGAATGGCTATCTTTTCCATAAAGATATAGTTATGAAAGAGTGAAACAGGGTGAATGTAGTCATTTCTTACATTATAAATATGAAAAAGCTTTCCAGAAATTTGAATAAAAAGAATAGTTTATAAAAATGTCAATAATTGGTTTCATAATAATAAAAACATTTACTAAATGACCATTTACACTGAACACTGTTATATTAATTTCCTGCAAGGGGAGAGAGACTAAAACAGACTGCATTGTTATGAGCTAACCTCCCTAGAAAATACTTGGAAAATCTAATCCATTACTCACTTTTACGGAGACCTTTCCTAAGTCATCCAGAAGAGATGAAAAGAGCTTTTTTTTTTTGAAAAGAGCTTTTTAAAATAACTTTTTGTGTACTATACTTGAAGGCTATCACAGGATTACTCCTTTGCTTTCTCTATGTTTGTTAGACCAAATAATCTTTTCAAAAAGTCTTAGTCTAAGTTTTTTAAACAATGTTTTTGTCTTTCTTCTGACCCTTCCCAGGCTTTTTATCCCCACACTGATTTTAATGGTGAGGCCAAGGGGAAAAAAGGAAGAGAAAAAGATTTCAATAAATTATAAACTGTTCCCTTTTTTATATCCTTAGTCCTTATTGAAGGGTAATAGATACCAAAATAGTATTTGCTGAGATGCACCATATTCTTTATGTTTGTAAGTTCTGATATTATGACAAGAAGTAGGAAAGACA